TATTCGCTATACACTCACAAAAAGCATGACTGTGCCAAACAGATTGTTTCGTCGGACTTTCACCGACTCTGTGTGTGTGTGTGTGTGTGTGTGTGTGTGTACTGCAGGATAAGTGGCAAGGTTTGTGATCTCTGAGTGGATGCGCCAGCCGGTGTGACGTGCGCGGGGGGACATGAGAAAGACACGTGTGCAGTCCGCCCGGTCAGGAAGGCCAGGGGGAGCCGGGGGAAGGGAGACGCGGGGCAGAAAGGGTCTGCGGAGAAAAGAAGGAGGTCGTCAAAGGTGGCTCGCGAAGGCGAACACGTGGAGGGGCTCCATGCGCGTGAAACGAAAGAACAAAAAGAAATAAGGAAAAAAAGGACAAAAAGTGACGAGATGGAGAGGGAAGCACGAGAAAGAACAAAAAAGGAAAAAGCAAACAAAAAAAATCAGAGAGGGAACCCGCACGAGAACGTGCGGACAGCATGCAAACAAGAAAACAGTGCGGGCATACTCACACTATCACTTTCCTAGATCTGGCTGAAATTACGGCCAGACCTGGATGAATCTGGCGTCAATCACGTCCAGAGCTGATTAGAAATAGTCCTACCCGGTAGTTTGAGTATGCCCCGGGACTTGCGGCGAAGGAAAAGGAGATAGAAGGGCAGCTGTGAAGTAGGACACGTACGCGCACGCGCCAGCAGGCGGGGTCCGCGTGCGGGGTCCTCCCCCTCTTCTTGATTTGATTTGATTTGATTTGATGTGATGTGATGCGATGCGATGTGATTTTCGATCTCTTGGCAGTTTGGCAATTGGCGGGCGATCGCCATTTTTTCATTTTTATTTTTATTTTTTACTTTTTTGGGGGGGAATCGCCAACTTCCAATCCCCGGTGCGAGACAAACGCTTCCTTTATTTTTTGGTGACGTCCCAAAGAATATCGTGGTCTCGTATGGGCATATTCGGTTTTGGGGGCACATTGGCAAATTTGACGATTACCCCTCATTCCTCAGCAACGCCAGGTGTCAGCTTGTATTCTGCAGACCGCCTTCGCGCGAATACAACGCCCGGTTATTATAGCTGTGTTCAGGGTATTCAGTCGCGGGATACAGAAAGAGTTCTGCTTGGGTGAAGACGGGTAGTAAATTTTGTTTTGGGAAAGAAAATGACCGGTAGTACCGGGGGGGGGGTCTGTGAGGGGTTCAGAAAATCGCATCTGTAGATGGGTGGTGTGCATTTGGGGTAACACCCATCTCACACGTGAGTAATTCTGGGACCTGCGAACCACAAAGTACTCCGAAGCCTCTTTGGGGCTCGCCACACAGCCTTTCGAAGTGGTAAAATTGACACCCCGTCATCGCCACACAGCCTTTCGAAGTGGCAAAATTGACACCCCGTCATAGCCACACAGCCTTCCCAACCATTAGGCAGTTGAAAACTTTGGAAAGGTGTCAGTGAAAGCGGCCTAGAAATGCGTTGAACGATCATCCTGCCTGTGGTGGCCCGATTCTCGAAAGCTCACCAGAGGTCTTGTGAAAACGGGCCTTCTTGAGGCTGTCTGTCAGGGTCACTACCCTGACGACCAGCGCTGTTCACGCGGTAGACGCTTTTGAAAGGTTGTGTGTGGAATGAATTTTGAAAGTCCGTGTGGCAAAGGGGGTTTTCTTTCGAAACTCCTTTCGAATTCCCTCTGACGAATTTCGGAACATGCCTCAGTTCGAAAGGCTGTGTGGCAAGCCCCTTTTTCCTGAGGAACGCCAAAGAAAAAACGAACCCGTCCAGCACAAAACTCTCCTCTTTGGCTAGCGAACAAATCCAGTAAGTCGAATCCCAAAGGACATGCAATGAGCCGTCGGAGAAAAATAGCTGGCAAACGTACTGGTGGTTTAACTATCAGTTGCCACAAATTGCTCTCATACCCAAGGGTCTTTTGCCACAATGGTGTTCTCTCTCTCTCTCTCTCTCTCTCTCTCTCTCTCTCTTTTTTTTTTTTTCACATGTGCAGGCACACACACAAGTAGGAGCTAAGCGGAATGTCATCACGTGGAAAGCAACCCCTTAAGGCCCTCCGCCTTCCCCCCCCCCCGCCCGACTTTTCGCTCTCTAAAGAGAAAGAGGAAGAGGGATAGAGATAGAGATTGAACCAATTTGGCCTTGGTATGAGAGTAATTTTTGACATTGGGTATTGGGTTTCCATAACATTTGGTCGATCCACTATGGTCTCAGGTTGTTTACCCTAGATATATCCATGATTTCAACAATCAGCAGTTGGTTGTAACTGCAATTTGTCGATACCAATTGGGCATGCAAGATGGTAATTTCTCGACTAAATGGGCAAGTCTTTTTTTTTCTCCAGTGAGTGTTAACCAGGTCTCCGTCGGAGAGGTTTCTTTGAATCGTTCACGTGCTATTGTATTTGCATGACCACATATTGTATCACTCATACCAATTTGATACTTAGTTAAAGCCACTTATCGTATTTGACCACATGTTGTTGAATCACCCAGGCCAATTTGGTATAGATGACTATGCGTTGCCGTACTTGCATTTGAAATAGTACAAAAATCATGTGCATTTGTTTTTTGTTGATCACATAAAAAATTGTTTGATCAGCATGCAATAAAGTTAGTTATAAATGCTTAAGTTGTAGACATTATGTTACTCTACTTATAAACTTATAGATTATTGAAGAGAATAAAACTACAACTGATATGATTTTTTTTCACTATGTGAATCGATGTTTTTGTTTTGGTCACAAACTTGTTCATTGTTCTTTAAAGAGTGTAGCACTGCAGATGACATGATATTGTAAAAAGTGCAACATTACATGTAATATAACATTACAAATGACATAAACGATGTTAGTGGTGGGGGGTTACTCTTGTCTATCCTCTCTCCATCGCCTTATTATTTTTATTCTCATCATTATATGTTCCTTATTATTGTTTTCATTCAATTAAAGAGTAACATGAAAAACAAACGTTTAATTATTATAATTTGGTTTCTCATAACATGATTGTGTTATTGTTACGAGGAATATATAACATTGTAAATATTACAACAGATGCAGACACACTCTCTTGCCTTAAGCATACCCTAATGCCTTGATAGGGTGTATTACATGATATTTTTCCAGGCTGCGGGAGTACACTATTTTTTCTTTGGTAAATTTGTGACGGAGGTTATACGGATAAATAAAATATATTATCTAAGGAAAGTTATATGCATGAGGCACAGATTGTGACAACAGAAGTTGAGATGAATCACTTGTAAAGCATATTGTGCATAACATCGGAGATTATGATTCCTTGATTAACATTATCCTCATGTTTTTCATATAAAATAAATAAGATAGCACAATTTTTTTTATTATTTTTTTTTTAACAGTAAGAGGGTGGCGATTAATGATACATAAAATACACTGTACGAGGGTAGGAGTATGCATGAGGTGCGCAAAAATGCAAGAGATAATGAAGGTTAACCACCATGAATGAAGAGCCTAAGTAAGTGGTATCTCGTCATAACTTAAAAGATCTAACTTATTCAAGTCGGGATCCAATAAACAGAGTTCAAATAACTTGTATATGAGCCTTAGGGTGAACATATGCATGCAAGTGGAAATTGTGTTCCCTTAATAAGCATTCTCATTGTGTCTTGCCCCCACCCTTCCCTTCGATTGTTTTTTTTACTCATGAAGCAACACACCAAAGTACCTTGAGGTACCTAAACACACAAAAATGCTTTAATATGGTGTACCACACCCTCTTGCCTAATGCAAAAGAAACACATTTCTTGCCTTGGCCATAAGTTGTTCAACAAAGAAAGTCACGATGAGTTATATACGAAACCCATTATGCAAGTGCTATAATATAAATAAGATATGAAGATTGAGTTTCTTCGATAGAATGAAGTCCCTACTACGTTTCTCCCCCCGACCCCTCACCCCCCATTCCCCAACCCATCCCCCCTTCCTTAAATTTGTTGTTACGCTATAAGAGAATGAAGGTAAACCATATATAAAATATATACTGCAATGGTTAAAACATGCATATGGTATGGACACTGGCCTCAGCTAAGTAAAAATTTACCAGTCATAAAAAAAAACTCATGCTACCAGAATTTTGTTTAGGTCGAGATTAAACTAACAGGGTGGGAATGAACCATGCAAAAATCACATTTTTATGAAGGTCTGAATATGCACAAGGTGGGACTGTGTACCGCATATTAATGCATTGCGCTCTATACTAACTTTGCACCCATACAATGAAGTGGCATACCAATGTGTTTTGGTGAATGGTAATATGTTGTCCTGCCTTAACTACACCAAGATGCCTCACTATGTTCACGAAACCGTCTTGCCTTTGGTAGAAAAAAAAAATGATATTGTCAAGCGGGTTAGTT